TGTGCAATGACCAAAACGAGAGAAGAAGAGAGACAGAGTGAGATGTTTTGTTGCCAAACAGAGTTGAGTAGATGTGGACCTTGAGATTTTAGCTGGGCAGCCCCACCACCATAATATGATATCACCCTGCCCTCAGAGCTTTCTGGGGAAATGATCTGCAGTGAACTGGTTCTGTGTGTCTATGTACATTTGCCTACACATTAACAGGCACCTTCTAAAAGCCTACAGGAAAGTCCCCCTTGATTACTATGAAACTGTAGCTAGGCTGAATGTGGTAACAAAACAACATAACACTCTCTTTACATCATAAAAGTGCCAGGCATGCGTTCAACTGGCCAATTGGAAGCAGGGACATCTAGCTAGTGCAATTGTTCTGAGGAGGCTTTGAACTGCTAAAAACTCTGAAAATGATTTTCTTCCAGTGGGTTATGATTTATTCTATTAATTCCCGAGGTGATTTCTGAGGGGAAATCGATAGCTCCAGTGGAAAACGATGATAATCAATAGGCACAGAGAAAAACTGCTCTCACCAGTTTATAATCAAGTGGAACAAAACACCACTCTCTGTCAATATTACATACATCCAGCATATTAGCTCATTTAATCTCATAACAGTATTTCAAACAATACAACAATTACTCTGGACATGTAAGCTATTAACTTCTCAAATGTACCACTTGAATGCAAGGTGAGAGTAGGTGTTGTCAGTGTCTTGTGTTGGCAGGGTCCAAAACAGTATGTCTCCTGGAGCAAAGAAATCTTAGTGTTGTGGACTCAAGACGGAATTGGTTAAAGAGGTTGTCTTTACGTTTTTAGTAGGCGATTGCTTTCTGCTGCCTTAGCAAAGCACCAAAATTGCACCCGGGCTCATTTTAAGATGAAAATGCCCATGGGCACTCAAATGGGCGCAAATGAGTGGTGAATGGTACTAGCAATTTTCTAGTCATATCAACCCATCAAAGTGCTTTAGTGCAAGTCACATTTATACAAAATAATGCAGTGTTTCTACCCGGAGTAATTTTTTATCATACACCATTCACACAGTGAAGGCAGCTGTCAAGGGCAATGTGGGGTTGTGTCTTGCACTATGACAAGAAAAGTATCCATAACTAGGGTCCATAATTTGTAACATGTTGCATACTATAATCTCTTTTTACAAGATGACTCAAGGAAAAACCTAATAGATATTAAGGATAGAAGACACAGAAAAATAACATTCGGGGCGAACTAGCTGAGTTTATAGACAGAGTTATTACCAACCCCCATAGAATCCCCTGAGAAGTTAAACGTGCAACTACGATCAATCTAGTCGTATATCTGGATCCTCATTTTGAGACACATTATAATAAGAACTTCAAAGCTAAAATGACAAATATAATCTATATGACAAAAGAACAAAATTATGTTTTAAGCAACACAATTCATCTCTCAGGGAGATTAATAATTTTCCAGGAGATTTTTCCCTATCACAGCTGAGGAGATTAAGACCTGGTCATTTATGAACTACATCCAACATCAGCTTTACCCTTCAATAAATAATTTTAGCTCAGATGACTTGCGATGGCTAAAAGGCTTGAGAGATGAAATGCCTCTAGTTGACAATACAAAGCAGAAGTCAGTTCAATGCTCACTTAATAGTCAACAAAGTATAAACACCAGTGAGAAAGATGATGCACTCATAACAGTTGGACTGAATAGCTGATTGCTGCCAGTTTAGTTTTTTTTCATAATAGCTTGACATGAGCGAGCTCTCATTATCTCCCTCTTGTTTAAACATCCAGCTCTTTATCCACAATGTGCTGCACACATGGTAAAGCAATTAATAAATCATCTGCAGATAGCCTAATTCCAATCATAACATGTTAAATGTCAGCAGCTCTTCTCAAGAAATGACAAGGGGGAGGGGTTTTACGAGGGGAAATCCACCCTAACAACAGCATCCACATGTTATTCCCAGGACCTTGGGCCATTGCAGAGCCCTTACTAACCATGGTTCTGAAGCTTCACACTTGCGTTCCACTGTATACAGTTGAGGTGTTAGCATACACACTTTTTTAACCTAACCTGATCTGCCTCAGTAAAAAGAACTTTCCAGACAATTCTGAATTAATGAACTATTACCAAAAAGGTGGACTACATATCAGGTTGAATTAGTATATAAACCAAGTACCCCAACATGGTCAACCAGAATATGAAGAGTTAACATCCCATTTATCATTCCCCAGTTAATCACAGGAACAATGGATCATTAGGAGAAATGAGGCAGAACTACTTACTACATACCTTATGAATTTCTAACTGTGGATCAAATATCTCCACAATCCAATAACCCAATATTTGAGGAGTTCTTATTTTTCATTCATGGCCAATAAGGTAAACTGTCTTTACATACAGAGAAACCAGATAGTTAATTGCAAGAAGGATATATTATTATGTAACATGGATAGGGTGAAACTGGAGTTGTGGGATGATGGAAACGAAGTACCTGCTATGCTGTAATCCTTTGGTGTTGAGCTGTAGTTTATCAAGATCTTCTGACTGCAGGGAGGCTTATAGTTGCACAATGATTAAAACCACAGGGGTTAAATAACTCTGCCCTTTCTTATTCTGATTGCTCACGGAAACAATTTGTAACGTTTCATTTCATCTACTCCTGTAACACTGCAGCAATGCCTAGAGAAGATGCTATTCATTTACTTGTAAGCTCTGTTCCAATTTAGTTGTTGGACTAGAGACACTGTGGCTGAATAAAATAAATACTTACAAATGTCTTGTTTTTACTTCAAAGAGAAATATTAAGATAAGTAAGAGCTTGAGTCTGACTCAGTATATTATAGTAATGCTTCCCAACAATGAGATGCCATATAGAAATATGTGCAACACTAAACTCTCACACAGTTTCAGGCCAAATGTGCTGTCCACTTCACATTTCGAGCAAACAGTCTGTGAATGTATGCAATTATGTTGATTAATTAATTCCCATGGTTAATTCCAAATCCAGTGTGCCTTTGTTTTTAGTTATGTGAAAGACAGAATGAAAATGTACAGATGGCATAACTCTGAAAGAAAGAAGATGATAAAAACAGGAACATGTCAATAGAAACCCAAACAGACATCAAACAGTAAAACAGCTTCACAGACAGACATACAAAAATGAAGACAGCACGATGGAGGAGCAGTCACAGAGACAGACAGCTGGTAGATAGGAGGTCGTACACATTGATAGTCAGTGTTCTCTAGTCAGTTAAGTGTTGCTGACAAGCTAAAGCTTTGTGTGCAATGTTGGAGCCAAGGTGATTGTGTACTGATAAACTCTAATGCAAATATATACTGCTGCGATGTGATTAAGCAAAAATACTGTGGTATGGAAAAGCCATAAGAGCATATCGGATGAAACGAGGAACAGTGGGAAACCCAGGAGGAAAAGGCAGTGAGACCTTTCAGCTGTGAGTTTTTCAAGTAAGCGAGGAAAGAACTCTAATGGCCTTTTTTAGACTCTGAAATGTCATAGGAGCATTTTTCCTATCAAAACACTTGACACGGGGGAACGTCATACACATACAATGTTATTTACAGCTACAGGATGACTTCATTCAAAACAGGGAATTATCACTCCTGTTGGGAACACGTTTCCCAGGAACTTTGAGAGGAGGAAAATAGACGACCACTGGCTTTATTTCCCCTGACTCGTCACTGCAAAGCTTTGGCAGAGAACGTCTCAACCATTTAAGTGTTTAGAGGACCTGGAGCCTAAACACTGTGAGGCTCAAACAACAGAGACTGGAACAGCCTTTTAACATATTTATTTATTCATATTTTAAACTGTGTGACTAATTCAGTCTAACGAAGCAAGCCAAGACATTCTATTGGATGACATTAATTCAATCTCTATAGAGCTACATGAGTGTGAGGAGGTGGGCAATTAAATTTATAAATAACCATATGAGTATTAAATGAAAACCATTTGTCCAGTCAGTAAGGCTCTGTGTTGTGTCATGGACAGCTCCTAAACAGTGACTGCTCCAGCCATCCTCCCAGGTAGGAGTCTAAGAATTCATGTGTGTGTGTGTGTGTGTGTGTGTGTGTNTGTGTGTGTGTGTGTGTGTGTGTGTGTGTGTGTGTGTGTGTGTGTGTGCGCGCGTGCGCGCGGTCCTGCTGCAACCAACCTCTTATAACTTAAAGCTTAAAGTTTCTGCCGTTGTGCTTCATTGTGTGGTCCTGACACTAAAGCAAGAAGTTACATCCTTTACAAGTTGCGGAACAGCATCTATCCTCTCTCCTCTCTGTTGTTTGTCGATCTCCATTCTAAAAGTTCAGTGGCCTATAGCTATAGCATTGATTTGTAAAGTTCTGGAAATATGTAAGTAAGCAAGGTGACATGAAGTGAATGTCCGTCTGTGGCATGTAATATGTACACATAAACTCGCCTGCCTCTATGTGCATGTGTGTTAATATTTAAAATATAATGTCAACAAAAATATAGTATATTTTTTGTGCATGTGTGTGAACAAGCAGACAGACTGATGTTCATTCTGAACATGGGGGGTTTCAGAGGGTGGAAAACGGGCACTGAAGAAGGCTCCACTTAGCACAGCCAAGTCACTCACTGATCCTGGGCATCCAGAGCCCACAAAGCCATAGTAATACAACCAGAAGAGGAAAACCAGAGGAGGACATGCCTGGATATGGAATGTTTAGGCTGTCATGTGTTATGTAACAACATAGTAATATAGCATCATTGCATAGAAACAAGGTTAAATACGGTACATTTTTGTTACTAGACAACTGGAAGACCATATCCATAAGCATAGAAACAGAATCAGTTATTGCAAATATTAGGGGAGAAGTAAATGTTGTTGCACTTCTTATTTGTATAGAAAACACAGAGAAGACCTTTATCCTGAATTGTTTGTGTGTAAACCTCTGTAATTGAATCATGTGGAATGTCAGTTATATCTTCATTATAATAGTTTGGCACAGCTTGGGGTTAGTAAACCTACCTGTGACTGTCTTTGTTTTGACCGGGCTGCTGGCATAGTCTGAGGCCTGATTGGAGGGTTGTTTGGCAAATGGTGTGCTCCCTACTGACACCTCGTCCTCTCTCCTCTTGGCCAAAGAAACTGGACCTGGATTCTGAAATGACATCAGAGTGTGATTGAGCACCTACAAGGTCACTCTGGGAATGAAATATGACCTATATGGATGCATTAAAGAGCATTTAATCAGTCCTAGAAAGAAAGCGAATGTTTTCACGTGAACAATGAAATACTTTTACACTACGCAGTTGTTATGGGGTCATGACCCAGAGACAGCTTCAGGCAACTTTAACGATTTGGGTTAATCAGGAAGCATGGATGAAGGTACAATGCAGTGCTATATGGAAAGTAAGGCAGAGAGAGAAAGAGAAAAATGCAGTGGAACACAACTGAGTCCTCCAAGACCAACAAGGACTAGTGACAGCTCCCTGTATTTTGAGCAGTCTCCCATGCTGCTGCCAGGCCAAAAACACACACACACACACACACACANCACACACACACACACACACACACACACACACACACACACACACACACACACACACACAGAGAGAGAGGTGGCTGAATGACAGAAGATTGGAGGATTGGTCTGAAATAAGGAAACCCCATTAGCATCAGCCAGCAGCACCACTAGGCTATGGTGCAGCTGCACAAGGCTGCAGGCCAACCACATTCTGCACACACACACGAGCACTGATGCAGTTGTTTTTCAATGACTGGGTCAGGACCCAAATGCTGGTTGTGGTAAGATTAAAAATGAGCCCCCTAATTACATTAGTATTTGAAGCTACCGACTGAGGTATAACGCCAAATCCTTCCTTAGTTCTTGCAACTTAACATTGGCTGAATAAAACACTGTAGGCAAGTAGGTTAGTTTCCCAAAGTCAGGTTTGATTTGAAATTCATATTCAGTCTGTTAAACATCTGAGAATGTACAAAAAATGTTAAAGTTAGAAACACACTGTCAAATAAACCCATAAGAAACAAATACTATTTGAGGCTAATACAACAAATTAATGTTTACAGAAAAACTTAAAAAAGTTGCATGCTCCCTGTTGTCTCTTCTATGTCCCATACTCCTCTTAGCCATCCCCATTCCCTGGTGTTGCATTTGTTTCATTCTCAGCCCTTTCCATATCTGTTCTCTGCTACCATACACTCATGTCCCTGCACTCTTCATTGTTTGTAACATTGTACATTCACCCCTTGTGGGCCCTCCCCACATGTCCATCCCTCTGTCCCTGTCTTTGTCCAGTTTTCTCTTTATTTCCTGCCATTCTGAACTTAACCAGTCAGTGTCCTCTCCGCTGTCCTTCACAGGCTGTTGAATGGCCTTCAGCTGAAAGCCTTGTCTACGCAGCCAGGCCTTGAGAAGGCCTTGTCGGGCAGCTGAGGTATATGGCCTTACAGAGACAAACCCATGAACACAGGCACACACGCCCACATGTTTGCTGCAGCATGTCCACACACACAGCAGCCCATGCTGTGTATCCTTCACACTGGCTGCAGTCCAACTCATAACATCTGTTAAACCCCATACAGCAATAACCTCCAGAGTGAGGAGTTGGTGCAATTAACTCTCTCTCTCTCTCTCACATGCATACGAGCATGCGCGCACGCACACACACACACACGCACGCACGCACACACACACACACACATGCCTACAGATCTTCCAAACAGCAGGAATCATGAAACAGAGCAACATCGTGAAAGAAAATAAAAGTAATACAATATGATACTTTCAAGTACTATATATATTTATGTGCCTTTATGGGGTGAACCTGTACCATATCCAAGGCAATCAGACTGAGCATGTCTGCTGTGTGCGTATGTGTGATGGAGTGTGTGTAGTGTGGGCACAGAGCTTTCAATGTCCATAACCATCACCATGACCCCTGTCAAATAAATAGAGAGAGACTGGATGGAAGACAGGGAGCAAAGCACATGGAAAAGGGTAGCTGGGAAAGAGAAGGCAAGGCAGAGGGAGGGTGGAAGGACAGGAGGCAGAATTACAGACATTTGCGTCAGGCTCTTGATCAAGAGCAACTTAGAATGAATGCAAAGTAAAGTAAGTACTTTATTAATACTAATTGCTAAACATGTTTAAATACTCTCAAAATTGATCAGAGGCTGCCATATATTATCCGAGAACACCAGAGAGGATCACATACCTGGTGCTTACTGCTCCCTCTGTGAGGTTGGTATAGCAGCCATGTGCAGAACACTGGATCCATGTTGACGGCTATGCCCTGGACACTGACCAGCAGTACTGCACCTGGACAAAAACACACACAAACACACACAGACTTAATTGGCAACTCAAGACAACTAATTCAATTAGGATCCAGATCAAGAGAGAGACACAGAATTACTAACTGAAGTAGAAATATTTTCAACTGACAAAAACAAAAATGTTCAGATGCTTCTTATTTCTGCAAAGTGGGGAGGACATCTATATGGATCACTGAAGTAATGTAAGGAAATAAGCAATGAGCAAAACTGTTAGGGCAAATCTGGTCTGACTGAGAGTCAGGCTCTTTCATGCAAAGTGTACACTGTGTCCTAATGACCTGCTGGTGGGTATCAAGCCTGCTTGTTGGAGAGCAGCAAGGAGCACTGTTTGTTTCAATTGCTCTGTTCAAAGTGGTATCCCAATGAGCCAAGAATAACATTTTCTTTTGATAAATTTCTGTGAAACTCTAGACTTTCTTTGGGTTTTGGTTTACTCTTAAATAATAATCTTTACCAACAATAAGAGGGCCCTGAGGTAATGCATTAGGATCCTATCAATAATGATTCCCATGCCGGCAGGATTAGAGTAGGGTCTTTGGCGTGCCGTGGAATGTCCCAGCATGACGATAGGAGGATGTTTCAGCTCTAGAAGGACTTTCAACAGTTTAATGGAGCTTTGGACAAGAACCCTTTCTTCAGTTTCAGGCCCCGAGGCAAAGCTGAGTGAGCGTGCGCATGTGTGTGTGTGTGTGTGTGTGTGTAAATGGGAATGTGTAAAAGTCTGTGCACATTTCACCTCTGACAAAGCCTGATTGCCTGTTGCTTTACCTAACATTTAAGTGTCTCTAAAGCATGGAGAAAGCACAATTATAAATTCTCTCCTGAACACACTCATATTTTTGTTACACAAGCTCTCCAGTTTGGCAGGAATTACTTGCTCCTCCATTATTCTCTGTGAACAATGCAAATAAAACTGCTCCAATTTGCTCCACTTTTACCATGTGCTGTGATTTGTGGCCTATGAGCTTGTGTGTGTGTCTTTACTGTAAATGTGTATGACTGTAAGCATAAGTGATAACAAATGCACCAGTGTTGTCAAACGTGTATGTATGTAAGGTGTGAAGTCTGAAGTATGATGTTATATAGTGTAAGCATTTATCTGTACTCGTGTCTGTGTGTCAGATCATTTATTCACCAAGTACACTTTAATCCTCAGCCATGGTTTATTAATGGTACAGAAAACTTTCTGGACAACTTTCTCTAGGGAAACTTTCTCATTGGATCAAGTCAAACTGACTCACAGTTCTTCCTCTACTGCTTCATTTATCTTTCTACTTTGTTTACTTTCCGTCACTTATATTCTTCTGTCTCTCCACTATTTCCCTATCCATCTACCCCTAGAAGTTTATCGTCTCCCTAACAACAGTCGTGTACTCGTTGTACTGTATATCCACCTCTCTCCCTCTCCTCCTGACGAGGAATCATAACCTCAGCCGTGGCTTGAACTCTTATACCACAATGTGGCGGCTTAATAGGCTTTGGCTTTGGCTGTGGCTGTGGCTGTAGTGCTGGGGCCCAACTTCAAGCGGTTTCATCATAGCCCAGAACAGCATGAGCAGTATAGGTCCCAAATGTCTGGGAATGGGCTGAGTGGTGAAGATGTAGTGAAGATCTATTCCATAAATTGACCCTAAATTGTGGTCTATGGGATGCACAGAGGACGACAAACCACATTCTGCAGAAATGAGTCATAGAGCAATAAATCATAAAGCGTAGTAGATGGATTGTTTATCTAACAATTATTACAAAGATAAACGAGCAAATAAAAATATGAAAAATGAGTACCTTATTACACAGCAATAATACGTAGCCAACGCAAATTTAAGGCAAACTACTGACACACTAAAGTTGGTACATTGTCTTATTGTTCATACTGACATATAGTAAAGCTTTTTCATTCTAACATTTATGCGGAGACAAAAAAGAATCAACTACCAAAGTCTTTACAGAAATTTCAAAATAAATACATTTGTGTAACAGACTAATAATATGGTTCTTAAATAAATAAGTAAACTCTGTAACTGGCAGTGTATCAGTGGTGTTTTCAGTCTCGTGCCAGCACTTGTCATCTTATTGTGGCTGTGTGTCATGTCTGTCAGGCCTCTACCAATGACAGCCATGACCATGTTGATTCATCACAACACCACTCGAAAAGCTCTCGTCTTTGAGATTAACAGAGCAAACAAGCTTTCTTTCCTCTCTCTGCCCGTTTGACAGGGACACAGAAACTAAATATGTGTTGACCTAGCTTTTGAGGCTTTGAAGACCAAGGTTTTACCATCCACACTGTGTGTTCTTGTTTTATCATTGTGTTGACATAACTGCAGAGAGTGACACCTCCTTTGAAGCACGCAGCACCGTGAAACGGCCTGGCATGCTTCGAGGGCGACCTCAGCAGCAGGTTAACTGATGTTTTTCTCTGCTCTAACAGGGCGGCATATGGGTAATTACACAAAGTGATGACAATGATAACAAAGGTGTTTTTCTTACTTCCTTAATGATTCTTCAAGAAAACATCAGAAAACTGGTCAGTGGCCTAGACTCTGTAAATACACACAATTGCAGAATGTATGTGCAGGCATCTACGAAAACACACTTACTTTGACTCACCCAGAGTGGACCTATTAATGTCAAGGGTGTTTTTATTTTCTTCCGTGGTGGCCAATAGAGTTAAAAGACGGCATGGGCTGCTGTGGTTGTTTTATGGCTGTCTGACATTTGTCCTCAGGCTACTAGGGTGAGAGAAGGCATCTAAACGTTAAGCCCTGTCTACGTTCTTCTATAAATCTGCTTTGAGGGTCAACAGCCTCAAATCTCTCCATCTACATATCGTCTTTTTTATCCAGTTACATGGTTTATACGTTGACATATTTTAATGCACAATCCGCTTTGTTCCGTCATTGCAAGCATGAAATTCAATAAACTGGGAGTGGTTATAGGTCAGTGGAAGTTCAAAATCAAGTCCCACAGTAGACACCAAAACCCTGATTGGGGTTACAGAGGGCACAACCCCTCAACAACATGGCCTTGACCCCACCATCAGAATAACAACAGGCAAAGAGAGGTGGGGGGTACTCACCATCCACCCCCCCAGATAGACAGAGGGGGGAGGATTCATGCCCTAGCCAGCTAATCGCCCCCGCAGAATCACTTCATTGTTGGACGTGAGGCAGTTCTGGGACCCTGCGTCCAGCTTCTCTAACAGAAAATAAATAAATATAGCCCAGCCCGTGTCAGCCAGATGACTTCTGACAGGTTTGGTTAATTTCGAAGCCAAGTAGCAAAACAAAACATTACGCCAGCGTGCGGGGCCTACGCTGCCTTTAATTGCTTTTCCGATGAGCTCATGACTCAAAGGTGTCCTGGAGCAAGCTATGCAGCCCGACAGGTGTTCTACTGGTGTGTGTGTTTTTGGTGTGAGTGTCTATAACTAACAGAGTGGAGCTGATGACACCACTAAAAAGGGACTCAGCTGTGTGTGGGTGGGTGCAAGTAACAGTGTGTGCAGTATTCTGTATTTTCTGTGTCAGTGTTTGTCGTAATACACATAAGGAAGTCTTTCTATTTGTATCTATGTGTATATTTGTGTATGACAATGAACTGGACTCATACTCTCAAACACAACATTCACTGAGACACATTCACAGTACTAGAGTTCCCCTGCCTTGTAGCAACCTGGAGGGAATACTGCAACACAGGAGCCCAGGGGCTCAGGAAGGACACAGGAAGGTTTGACTGGAAACAGAACCAGCCTACAGAAAGCCTGCTCTCACTCTGGGCCAATGCAACTCCCTGTATTGGAAGCCAGTTTATATGTGTCTGTGCATATCTGTGGTTCTAGGAGAATTTAAGCGTACAGCAACATAGCCCAACTGCAGCAGCCTAGAGCTGAGAGTATAGATCCACCTCATATAGGTTGACTTTGGTTCATTCAGCCAGGTAGAGACAGAAAGTGCAAAAATCGGAAGAACTCCTATACAAATAGAGTGAAAGAAAGAATCAAAGACATCCATACAGAAAGAGATTAAGAAAAACAGAAATGCAAAGACAGTAGACAGAGATACAGTACAGACGGAGGATATAAAACAGTGGATGATGAGGGAAAAAACGTTATGTTGTTTTCCTAATCTACATGATAAGTGAGTAGACCTCAGAATTTGGCCATGGATCTGTATGATTTATGGGATGACTACAGTAAGTCTCCATACATGCAAAGCCCTGTGAACCGGATATATCATAGACGCCCAACTCTGGAATAGTAGTTTTACCATATATGTGTCCACATTGAATGAATGTTTGAAAAGTCAATGTATGCATAAATCCACCACATTATTCAAAATTGTGTATGTCCACATACTGAGCACTTTATCTGGAACACCATACTAGTACTAAGGCTTCCTTTTTCTCTCAAAACTGTCCATCTTCTTCTTGACAAAGATTCCACAAGATGTTGGAAACAATGCTTTGAGATTCTGCTCCATGTTGACATGATTGCTTCACATAATTGCTGCAAATTGATCAGCTGCACATACATGCTGCCAATATCCTTTTCTCCGTCCTCCCAAAGGTGCTCTGTTGGATTCATAGCTGGTGACTGGGGAGGCCACTGAAGTTCACTGAACTCACTGTCAAATTCATGAAACCAGTTTGAGACGACTTTTGCTGTGTGACATGGAGCATTATCCTGCTGGAAGTAGCCATTAGAAGATGGTTAACTGTGGCCTTAAAAAACACATGGTCAGCAACAATACTCAAAATGTGGTGTTCAAACCATGATTGGTATTAATGGGCCCAAAGTTTGCCAAGAAAATATTCCCGATGTCATTACACCACCAGCCACAGCCTGGACTGTTGACACAGGGCAGGTTGGCTCCATCGATTCATACTGTTGATGCCAAATGCACATATTTCAGCAGAAATGCAGATTAATTTGACCAGGCCACATTTTACCATCTGTTCGAATTCAGTGAACCACTGCCACCT